CTTTTGGTAGCCTCTGGCAGACACCAGAGCACACAACTGAGCCTGTTCAGCCCAGCCCACTGACTTGTGGTGGACACAGGGCCTTGGAGAGAGCCGGGGCAGGGCAGGAATAAAATGACAACATAGGGATGGTTTCTGCCCTTGAAAAGCATCCAGTCAGTGTAGAGGAGGGTAGAAGTCAGACACACGTCAAACCAGACAGAAGCCAGGCAGCATAGAGGTAGGTGGATTTGTCTCCAAGCTGGGGACAGAGAGGCTCTGAGCTGAGGGGAGGAGGTAGCTGACACTGGGCCCCAGCAGCATCCATTCCCATAGTCCCGCTTTGTGCCAGATAAAGACTTTGTGCCTGCAAATGTTGTTTGGATGTTGTTTTGTGTCTGTAAGCTGTGATTCTGTATATATGCAGTACCTCCCAGCTAGACTGTAAACCTTTGGGGGCAAGGCTCCCTCCAGTTCTTAGATGGCGTGCTCCTGTCTATCTTCCCTAATCTGTCTCGGCTGGCACAGTGTTCTGCATATAGTAAGCTCAATAAATGTTTATTTGCAAATAAGTGCTATTTCTTCTACAACTTAGAAATGGTCAGTACAGGCCAAAGTGCCAGAAGACAGACTGAGGTCTCTGGCATGTCCTGAGCTCCCAGCAGTGTGGTTAGGAATGGTGCAGAGGAGATTGCAATGTTCAACTAATTGGTGGCAAATTTCCATTGCCAACCTGGCCAGATGGATATCCTGGGCTTTGTGACCCAGGTGGTACCATGGAGAGGGCACCAAGACATGGGTAGGCTGTGTGGCCTGCAGGCAGAGCAAAGAACAGTCCCTTTTGGTCCCCTCATGCTGGCTATAGCACTGTGTTGGGAAATCAGGGCAGGGACTCCAGCATCTGGGACAACACCTAATACTCAACATGTCCCAAACTGACCACCTGCTCTTTTTTCCAAACCTGTTCTTCCCACAGTCCATTCATCTCCATTGATAACAACTCCATTTGTCCAGCTGCTCAAGCCAAAAGCCTCATTATCCTTGACTCCTTGCTCTCACAGGCCACATGAGCCCCATCAGAGAATCCTGTCAGTTCTACCTTCACAGGGGATCCAGAATCCAATCACCCTCACCTCAGGTCCAGCCCACCATCATCTCTCCCTGAGTAGGTTCCTACCAGTTTCCCTGCGTCCATCCCTGCCTCTCCAGTCTCTTCTCAACACTGCAGCAGAGGGGTCGTGTTGTCAGACCGCGCCAGTCCTCGACTCCGTGACTTCCTTGGTCTCTCAAGTGAAGTCTGCAGTCTTTTTGATCATGCACAGGTCTGTCCACCTCCACCACCTCTGTCTGTTCTCACCCCCTTAAGCTCTCCCTAGCTTCCTCTGCCTGGAATGTTCTTCCCTCAGATATATGCATGGTTCTCTCCCTCTCTTCTTTCAGGTCTTTGTTCAAATGTCTCCTTCTCGGTAAGACCTACACTGACCTAAAGAAACTCCACTCCTACCCCAGGACATATCCTATTTTTCCATAGCACTTACCAGATTCTATTGTACTATATAATCTTCATCTGTCCATTATCTATTGACTGTCTCCTTTTAGTAGAATATTAGCTCCACAAGGCAGAGATGTTGTCTGCTCACTTATGCCCAGTGCCTAGAACATAGTAAGTGCTCAATAACTCTTTGTGGAATGAATGGATGATTATTCCCCAACAGTGGGTATATGTGGAACCCCAGGGCATCACCTCCTGCCAATTACCCTAACATTTCTACTCCAGCCCTCCCAGAGAATACAGGGGTTCCTATGTCAGGTAAGGAGGGAAGATTCTAACTCTCCCTGCCATAAATGGGGTGACCCATCTCTCAGCCCAGAAAGGTCCCAGGGAAGCAGTCCTCTGGGGCTGGCAGGGCAGGGTCCAGTTGCTCAGAGAAAAGACAATTCCAGGACATAGGTGCTCCAATAGTTTTTTTGTGACAACCTGGGGACAGAGTGACCTTGATAGAGAGTTGAAAGAGATGGAAGGATTTCAAGCACAGGCCTAGGAAACATAACCAGCTGCCCCATCTGAACAATCTTGACAGATAGGGTCTCCTTCTTCAGCCACACCAGGCCCATTCCTGGTGATACTGTGGGTCCTATCTCAGGTCACTGTGTGACTCTGGACCTCTGAGTCCAGGTTTCCTCACACAGTGGAGGAGGTCAAACCTCACAGTGGAGACCTTGGTTAGATGTCAAGGATTGGGGCCAAACCCTCAAGTGGAGCTACCCCTGGTGGCCCAGCCTCCCATGAGCACTGCCAAGTCCTTCCCACTCCAAGATGATGGAGTTTGAGACCTGTGGATTCATGAAGACAGTGCCCAGAGAGAGAAGATAAGAAAGAAGGTGGAAGGGTGCAGACTGGAGGCAAGTTCAACAGCCAAGGGGTCTGGTCCTCAAAGCCTGTGGGGTTATCAAGGTCCTTGTTCCAGTCTGGGCCAGGCCCACAAGCCCTGAGCCCCAAGGCCAGATGAAAATCCTGTATACAGCTGCCATACACTGCCAGGAGCAGGGCCCCAGGACCTATGGCAAAAAGGACAGACAGACCTCCTGCCTTAAGAGTTGTGAGGAAGGAGCTGCCCCAGCAGGAAGCACTGAACAGAGGACAAACAATGGCAGGGTTTCTTTGGTCCCTGTTTTCTTTGGCCCCTTAGTTGCCACGGAGCCCACAGCCCCAACCTCTAGGCCCTTGGCTTTCCTCCCGGTCCCTCCCCTTAGCTCCTGCCTAACAGACTGGTAGAGGAGCACCCGTTCTTTCCCTCTGCTGCACCCTACACCTTAGCTCCACACAGAGCCTTCAGGGGGCTTTCAAAATTCTAATTGCAAAAAAAAAAAAATGTAATCATCAAAAGTCAGTGCCTTGAGCCCTGGCCAGTTTGGCTCAGCGGTTAGAGCGTCGGCCTGCGGTCCGGAGAGACCGGGGTTCGGTTCCCGCTAAGGGCACGTACTTCGGTTGCAGTTTGTCCCCGGCCCTGGTTGGTCGCGCGGGTGGCAGCCACTCGATGTGTCCCTTCACATCGATGTTTCTCTCTCTCTCTCCCGTCCTCTCTCTCCTTCCCACTCTATCTGTACAAAAAATGGAAACATATCCTCGGGTGAGGATAAAAAAAAAAAAAAAAAAAAAAAAAAAAAAAAGTCAGTGCCTTGATTTCAGGGTTGGCTAAAAATAAATAGGTTTTTAATGTCAAAAATAAATAAATAAAATAAAATTCTAATTGCAATATGAGGAAACTTTAGTTAGCTTTACTCTGTGCCAGGCACTGTGCTAAGTGCTTCCCAAGGACACACAATGGGGGTGTGTGTGTGTGTGTGTGTGTGTGTGTTGGGCGGGAGGTCTTGCCTGCAGTTCCTCTCCTGGGATCCTGAGGGTAATTCCCTACCCCTCCTCCAAGCCCTGGAGGGCACTCCAGCCTCATTCCCCACATGCCTAACGTGGAGACAGGAAAAGGGAGAGGTGGAGGAACGTGTGTAGCTCCTGGGAGCTCAGAGAGAGAGGGCAAAGACAGGAGGAGGGGTGGTGGGAACTGCAAGAAAGTGTCACCCAGTTCAGGAGTGGGAGAACCTGACTTTGAGGGCACTGGAAAAAGACCACATGTAAGAAAGAGAGACATGGGAATGAGATAGAGACAGACAGAAACCAAAAAATTAAGAAACAAAAAAATCATAGAAATGAAGAGGCAGGGCAATGGTGAAATAGAGAGGATAGAGAGACTGAGACAGAGAGACTAAGGCTAAGACTAAAAGGAAGGGGGGAACAGAAATGGAAAGGAGAGAGAGAGACTGAAGGGAGACTGCAAAGAAAGATAAAAAGTCTGAAAAAGACAGAGATTGGAGAAACAGACTAAAGGAGAAAGAGGAGAGGCAGATTGCAAGAGGGAGAGAAATCTTGAAGGACAAGGAGACTAAAGAGACTGGGAGGAGGAGGGCAGCAGAAGGTGGAGAAGAGGGAAAACCTGAGATCTAGGTGGGGGGCTTCGGAAAGGAAAGTGGGAGAGGCGAAGACGGCCTGGGAGGTCAGTGGTGCCCCGCAGCACCCCCCAACTCTGACCCCCAACCCAAGTCCCAGAGCCTCTTCCCTGACTTAAAACCGAACCCAGCCATGCCCCCTACCATCCCATGTACAAAGTGAACCCCTGGCCCCCACCTCCTTCGGAGACTCGCTGAGATCCCCAAGAGGGCTGTGCACGAGGGGTTGGGGTGGTTGCCTGGCAAAGGGCGCCTCCCAAGATCCACCGCCTCCTTCCAGGCGGCTGCCCTGAGGCTGCGGGGGGTCCCGGACGGCCAGGCGCGGGACAGGCCTTCACGGTGCCCGCTTTTCCCGAAACGCCCCCGCTCCAACCCCGGAGGCCCGCCTGGCCGGGGCCAGGGAGAAGCCCACGACAGCGGGACCGCCCGGCCCGGCCCGGCCCGGCCGCCCGCCCCGCCCCCGCCCCCGCCACCGGGCGGCCGGGAGCTGAGTGGCGCTGTCCTCAGGGGATCGCATCACTCCAGCTCCGTGGGGGTGAGTCTGGATAAGGATGCCTGGGTCGCAGGAGGAAAAGGAGGGGCTGGACCTGGGGCCCAAAGAGGAGAAATGAGGAAGACCACGGCCGGGAATAAAAGCCCGGCGGAGGCAGCCAGCCGGAGGTCGGAAGGACAGGGCGCCCGACAGAAGCCAAGTGTCCGCGGGAACCCGGACAAACCGCGCAGAGTTGAGCGTGGGAGCCGCCCGAGTGCACCATGCACGGGTCCCCCGACGCGGGGCCGGTGTACCACCCGGCCTGGGTCACGTGGCCCGGACAGGGCGCTTGCTGTCGGGGCGGGAGAACTCACGGGGCCCGGGGCAGTGGCGAGCCCGGGGCGGCCTCAAAGTTCCCTCCCTGCCAGCAGTGCTGGCTCCCGGGCGCGGGCGCCGCCCCCTGCCCCCCCGCTCCGGCCCAGCCCGGGGGCGCCCGCCCTCTATATAGCGCAGCCCGAAGGGGCCCGCGCCAGGCCAGCCGCGCAGAGGTCCCGGGACAGCGGGCCCCGCCTGGGAGCCAGCCCCCCGCCGCCGCCGCCCCGCAGGGCTGCCCCCGCTGCCTCACGGCCCCCACAGCCACCATGAAGAAGGAGGTGTGCTCCGTGGCCTTCATCAAGGCTGTGTTCGCCGAATTCCTGGCCACCCTCATCTTCGTCTTCTTCGGCCTCAGCTCGGCCCTTGAGTGGTCAGAGAAGCCCAGCATCCTCCAGATCGCGCTGGCCTTTGGCCTGGCCATAGGCACCCTGGCCCAGGCCCTGGGGCCCGTGAGCGGCGGCCACATCAACCCTGCCATCACACTAGCCCTCTTGGTGGGCAACCAGATCTCCCTGCTCCGGGCTGTCTTCTACGTGGTGGCCCAGCTGGTGGGCGCCATTGCTGGGGCAGGCATCGTCCGTGGGCTGGCACCAGACAAAGTCCGAGGCTTTCTGGCTGTCAACGAGGTGAGTGCCCACCGGACTGGGGGTGGGGCAGGGACCCTGGGGTGGACTAGAGACCAAGCCCCATACCCCATCTTAAGAAGATGCCACTGCCCTGGCCGGTTTGGCTCAGCGGTTAGAGCCTCGGCCATGGACCAAACAGTGGTGGGTTCCATTCCCGTCCTCAGGGGCACGTACCTCGTTGTGGTTCTTCCCTGCCCGGTTGGGGTTGTGGGGGTGGCAACCACTCTATGTGTCTCTCTCACACCGATGTTTCTCTCTCTTCCCCGTCCTCCCCCCCCCCCCATCTGAAGAGAAATAGAAAAACATCCTACGGTTAGGATTAAAAAAAAAAACGATGCCACTGAGTGGGCCACTACACACCCTTGCAGGGAAGGTGACAGCCTCCCAAGGCCAGGAAGATGAATCCCCAGGCTGGTGTGTGTCCCTGCTCAGCCTCCTGGTTCATACCCACCTCCTCTGCCAGCTCCCCTCCTGCTGCCCCTTCCTGGCTTCTCTCCTGGTGCCTATTGCCTCTCCTTTCTTACCAGAAACTTCAACCTCTTCTCCTGTCTCGCCCCTGAATTTTGCCTTTCTCTTGCACCCCTCAGAGCTCCTGTCTGTTCCTCAGCAGACTGGTTTTTGTTTTTTTTTGCCACGAGGTGTGTTTTATTTTCATTAATCATACAAATAATTTTCTACAGTATCCCAGGGCAAAAGGGAGAATTTGGCAGTCCGATTGGGGGTGAATGGGAGGGGTCCCCTCAGAGACCCACAGGCCGATGGCATGGGCGCAGAGTATCCGGGTTCACAGTGCAGTTTGTCACTCGTGTCCATCTTGCAAGTGGGGTGCCTTTTTCTCCACTCACGACTGGGATCTCAAAGATGACGGGGGTGGGGGATCCTCCAGGTTCTTAGGTCAGCAGACTGGTTTTGTGGAACCATCAGGGAGATGGGTTGCAGTCTTGGCTTCTGCTGACCCTGGCCGCTCTGGGTCTCATTTTTCTCAGCCATTACAGGGGATGGCCATCACCTACCACAGCGGGTGTCAAGGGATCCCATTTAGAGACCATACATGTGAACCCCTAATTATGTTCCAATGTGAAGTTCTTTGTTGAGTATTTGGTTCCTGTTCCTGTCTCTCTGCTGCCTCCCCCTTCCAAAGCCCCAAATTCAGCCCCCATGTCCCATGCAAACTGGGTTCATTAATCAAACACAGAGGAGGATTTTCTCGGCCATTGTCAAGCCGTGAGTCAGCCACACTGGAGAGACGGGTTTGAGGTTGGCATTGGCAGTGGATCAGGCGCAGGCAGGAGGTGGGCTGGGGGTGTGTAGACAAACTGGGCAGCTGCCCACAGGAGGGAGGGTAAATGCCAGCTTGTGGGGGTTGGAGACTGGGCAGAACCGTTGACAGGACTGTGTCCAGGAAAAGTTCCCCTCATACCACCCTTTGGACACAGGTCTGTGCTCCAAGCTTTGCATACACTGTGAAGTATGTAGTCTCTTTGGCAGATGACTTCCCTGACTTGACATGCACTGGGCTGTAGGTGTCCTTGGAGACCCTAAACCCATCTCCTCAAGCCCCTGGCTGTACAGCCAGAAGAAGGAGGGTCCTAACTCACCCACCCTCCTCTTGCAGCTCAAAAACGACACAACATCAGGCCAGGCCGTGGGGGTGGAGCTGATTCTGACCTTCCAGCTGGCACTCTGCATCTTCTCCTCTACCGACCCCCGTCGCACCAGCCCTGTGGGCTCCCCGGCCCTGTCCATTGGCCTGTCTGTCACACTGGGCCACCTTGTAGGGGTGAGTGGAGCTGCCATGTGGCTGGGGTTGTGGGGAGTCCCTTGAGGTAAATAATGGGGCCCTAGAGTAGTACCTCTCTGGACCAATGAGGCCAGCAGTTTGGGCCTGGAGTGGGGCTACTGTACTCTGTCCCAGACTTGAGCCCTGCAAACCTCCTGTAGCCTGAGGGAAGATGGGAATAAGTGGGAGTTGGGGTGGGGGCAGGAAACCAAGCCCGAGCTCAGGACAGAGAAGAGAGGAGTGCATAGGGACCTGTGGAGGGAGATCTTCCGTTGGAGATCAGTTTGAGCCCCTAGACTGCTGGGTGACCCTGGGAGATTGGGGGCCCTGGGGGAGTAGACATGCACTTTGCCCTCCTCACCGCCTCCCTCTCTCTGTCCAGATCTATTTCACCGGCTGCTCCATGAACCCAGCCCGCTCTTTCGGCCCCGCAGTGGTCATGAATAAGTACAGCCCTGCACACTGGGTGAGTCTGGGCCTCCCTAGATCCCTGGCAATGAGGACCTGGACGCCCAGCTGCAGCTATCTGGACTTTCTGGGTGCTGTGGCCCAGAGTTTTGGGGTGGGCCTGGGGAGCAGTGGCTGGAGAGAGGACACAGTAGGGAATAGGATGTAGTCAGAACATTGGCAGGGATAGATTTATATGGACAAAGAGACCCTTGTTGGGGGGTGGGAGGGACTATGCTTGTCTGTTCCTTTAGGAAGGGAGGGGATCTCCACCTCTAGGTTGATCTCTGAGGATTTTGTCTGTTCCTCTGAAAGTCTGTGTGTCTGTCTTCTCTGATGTTTTATTTGTCTGTCCCTGTTGAGGATTTGGGACAGTTTTCCTTCCTGTGAGTCTGTCCCTCTGGACAATCTGAAACCTCCTTTGAGAGTTCATGGTCTCCCTCCAGAGTCAGTCTCTATCCCCATGTAGAAGGGAGAGGAGTTCTCTTCATCTCTCTGAGGATCTATATGTCTGTTCCCTCTGAAGATTCATTTATCTCTCTTTAGAGTAGGGTTGGAGGGGTGCTGGCCATTGAGGGATCTGTCTGTCTGCTTTGGGGATGTGGGTGTCTGTGGTCGTCCCTATCACTGGGGAGAGGGGTGTCAGTATATCTGTCCCTGAGGTGGGAGGAAGCCTTTCCTTCTGGAAGTCTGTCTGTCTGTCTCCTCTGAGGGTCCATGAGTCTGTCCTCTGGAGCAGGTGTGGGGGATAGTTGTTGGTCTCTGAGGCTTGGGGCTCAGCCCCCTGAAGCTGTCCTGTCTCCACCAGGTATTCTGGGTGGGACCCATCGTGGGGGCTGCCCTGGCTGCCATCCTCTACTTCTACCTGCTCTTCCCCAATTCCCTGAGCCTGCGTGAGCGTGTGGCTGTCGTCAAGGGCACGCACGAGCCTGAAGAGGACTGGGAGGAGCAGAGGGAGGAGCAGAAGAAGACCATGGAGCTGACTGCCCACTGACCAGCGTCAGGGGCCAGGCCCTCGCCTATGAACTGCAGGGGAGGGGGGGGGGACTACACACACACACACACACACACACACAGCAAAGCTTCCTTCCCCCACAGCTGGGTCCTCTGGGCTGGGGAGGAGGTATTGGCTCCCCAGGCTGCAGTTAGAATTGGAGCGGGAACCCATGATAGGACTCTTGGGGTGGGGGTCAGGAGCTGGGGTCTGATAGGAGGGAGGTGTCTCACTGAGACAGGACAGGCTGCTGCCATGAGTTCAGACCTCAGAGATTGGGAACACAGCACCAAGCTCTCAGGCTGCCCCAGGGGGAGGCCAGGAAGCGATGGCCTGCATTCTTCACCCCCCACTCTCCCAGCCCCTCCTCAAGAGCCAGAGGGAGACAGCTCCTTAGGAGGGAGGCAGTCGGGTTCATTTAATGCTGCCTTATTTATTTCTGCTTATGGATGTGTGGGCTGCTTGGAGTGGGGGCTTCCCAGTAAACCACTGACATTCATATTCTGCCTCATCTCCCCCTAGAAGCCTCTCCTTGGACACTTAGGCCCATCAACTCTCCTCTTTGTCACCCTACACCTTCCCCCAATGGCTCCACAGTCCTCTATGGAAAGACAGGGAAGCTGAGGCCAGGGGAGGCCTAGAGTCAGATATGGGGGTGGGAAGAGCAAGAGAGGGGTTGGGGAGAGGGAGAGGGACCAAATATAGAAAGAGTTAGAGGTCAGGAAAAGGCAGTGGGAGAGAGAAGGAGGCATCCTCTTCACTCAGTCTCCCGCCTGCACACCCCTCCCACCTCAGCTATGTCCAGTCCCTGCCACTTGAGGAGGGTATGACAGGCAGGGTGGAGGAGAAGTGAACCAGCCTGCAGCCCCGTCAGATGCCAAGGGGGTGACCAGCCAGGTCTGTCATCAGGAAGGAGGCACAGGCCTGGACTCCCCTCTTTACACCTCAGTGTTCCAAAGAGGAGCTATGCTGGGAGCCTGTGCTCAGAGACAGCAGCAGCACCCCTGCCCCCACCACACACACACACACACACACACACACACACACACCCAGAAGCTGCACCTGGCCTACCTCTTTTCTGGCCTCTTCCCAGTCTCTGCAGGCCAGTGTCCCTACCATCTTCCCTCTAGGCCCACAGCTCTGCCCTCACCGGCTCTTGTCTCCTTGCCACTGACCCACTGACATTCCTTAGGAAACTGCCTTAATTCACCAAACCTCCATCTATTAAGCTATAAAATGAGGATTAAAACTGCTTCCTTCAGAGTGTTGTGGGGATCAGATGAGATGAGAGAGTGAGATTCCTAGGACCCGTCTGCTGTCTGTGGGGAAAGGGTGGAATGCTGATGAGCAGCTCAGGACACTGCATCATAGTTAAGGAGCCTGACCTGGGGTCCAAGTGCTGATGCACAACTTTGGGTAACATAAACTCTCTGAGTTCTAATGACCTCATCTGTAAAATGGGGCCACTTGTACTCATGGGTGGTTGTGAGGACAAAATGAGACAATGGTTGGAAATAAAACCTTTGTGCAAACAGGGCCGGGCTCTTCAGAGTGAGTGCTCAATAAGTGTGAAAAGAAGCTGGTGTGGCCCTGGCCGGTTTGGCTCAGCAGTTAGAGCATCGGCCTGTGGTCCGGAGAGACCCGGGTTCGGTTCCCGCTAAGGGCACGTACCTCGGTTGCAGTTTGTCCCCTGCCCTGGTTGGTCATGCGGGTGGCAGCCACTCGATGTGTCCCTTTCATGTCGATGTTTCTCTCTCTCTCTCTTCCTCTCTCTCCCTCCCACTCTATCTGAACAAAAAATGGAAAAAATGTCCTCGGGTGAGGATTAAAAAAAAAAAGAAGAAGAAGCTGGTGTGTACACACCTGAAACGCTGGCCACACCCCAGTTCTGGGGCCTCGGCTCTCCAGAAAGTGTTTGAACCTGAACTCTGGCTTTTCTCTTGTGTAAGAACCTTGCTCCAAAGTCTTCAGTTTTGCCGTAGAAGTGGAGGGGCCAGGAGGACTAGGAGGTGAACAGAGAAGAGGTGGGAGAGTCTGTACACCCTGCTGGCGAGGGTCAGCCCCAGGGTCTGGGGGTGAGGTTGGCAGTCTCCAGCCCTCCTCCACACTTGAGTCTAGTATCTGTGAGTGGGAGCGGCAACCATGATGCCCTGCCCTGTCTGCCTCACCAGCATGCAGTTAACAACAAAAGGCAGTATTCCGGTGAAAACCTGTGGAAAGGAGCAGCCCCCACCCTCTAGCTCCGGCCCCCAGCCAGTCCTGGCCGCAAGTGCCAGCTCCGACCAGCAGGGGGAGACCTCGTCCACCGAATACACGACTGCTGCGCTTCTCTTCACGAATCCTGGGTCTGGGCTCCAGCCGGATGGAGCATGGGGGATAGAGAACACGGGGAGTCTCTCAGGCCTGGGTTCCCTGGGGCCACCCGGAAGCAGCTACTCGCAGTCCACCCACACCCCACTATCCGAGACAGGGTGCAGAAGAGAAGGAGTCCCTTTCCCTCTCAGTCTCCACAAGACTCAGGAGCAGGCACAGCCATGACTGGAAGGCTGACCTCTCCTCCAGCCCAGCAACTTGCATTTCGTTCTCTGACAGGTGGGCCTCTGGGTGAGTGAGCTACCCAGTCCGAGGGAGTTCCGGGCCCTGCCAAAGGGCGAGGGTCCACCTAGGGCTTTGGACCGACAAGTAGCGGCAGTCGGGCTTTGTGGCCAGCAGAGGGCGCTGTACTCCGTGGTGGATGATCCTCCACGTGCTGCTAGGTCCGGGCTCAGAGACCTGCGCACAGAGACATGCACGCCCAACCCCGCTTATCCACATTGGCATTTAGCTGGGCCGAGGGGCTGCGTCTTCTCGACTTGGGCTGCTCTTTCTATGCGTGCGATGGCCACGTCAGCCCTCCCCATTTGTGTTCTGGCTCCATGTGTTCTCCCAGAGGCACACGTGTGTGTCACACCCAAGCACACATGCCCAGTCACCTCTCTGACCTGCTCCACCTGAAGATGGAACCCAGAAAGAGCCTTGGTTCTCCCCTAAGAGGCTTCCTCCTCCTCCCACTCCCCCTCTTCCCGAAGGGGCTCCCAATTTTCACCGGGTAGGAAGGTAGACATGGTGACATGATGGAGAGATGGAGGAGGACTGGGGGTGACGGCAGAGAATGGACGGAGGTTGGCTGTCTAGATGGATGGACAGGAGGGGCTGCAAAAAGGTCAGCTCTCTCAGCCCCTCTCTAAGTATCAGTTTCTTCCCGTCTGATGAGGATGAGATCAGACTTCCTTCCCTGTCACATTTTGTGGGGATTGGTGAGATGATATGAGGGAAGCTACCTTGAATTCTTCCCTTTCTGTCATGTGTTTAATGTCCCTCCTCTTCTTTCCTGATACCTTCATCCTTCTTGTTCCATCATCTCCCCCAAGCCCCGGTCCTCTGTCAGAGCTCACAGTGCCCCTTGTGCGCGCACGCACATACACACACACACACACACACACACACCCCTTTCCACGGAGATATCCACCCCAGCGTCTGGGGAGCCCAGAGACAGGCCTCCGGGAGCTCACAGCACACAGCCACCTGACAGGCAGCTGTAGGTTGCTAGGTGTGGGGCCTTGGCAAAAGGCCTCTGAGCATGTGACCTCCAAGAGTGGCACTGGAGCCCAGGACTGGCTGGGCCTGGCAAGGTGCTGACTGGAACTGGAGCAAGCCCTGGTCAATGGCTGGCTGGCCTCAGGGGGTGAAGGACCTTGTCCCAGGCCAAGTAGGACCCCAGGAGGCTCTGTTCTAGGCCAGCCAGAAACAGGGCTACCACTGTACTTAATGCTCTCAGTCTCCAGGGTCCAGAGCAGGGACCGCAGGTGCTGCTCATCCTGGAGCTGCCGCAGCAGCAAGGACCCTTCCCACCCCAGCCATCCTCACAGCTGTCTCACTGGAGAGGGGAGAGGAGTGGCAATTCTAATAACCAACATTTTCTGACTCAGAGACACTCCCCTAGGTATTGGCGCATTCATTCCTAGCGGCATGTGGGGAAGTGGGCATTTTAATCTCCATTTTATAAGGGGGAAAACTGAAGTGCCAGAAGTTAAGCATTGGCCAGGGGCACGGTGTGCATGGCAATGTTCACATGCGTTCACTTATCAAAGTTCTCAGCAGATAGGCTTTCCTGTTGTTTGGTATACAGGGACAGAAACGGAGGCTGGGTGTGATATAGGGACTGGTGTCTGTTCCCAATCCCTACATGGCCCTGTCTGAGGGGAGGGAAGAAGAGAGATGCCCTTGAGTTTCTTTGGGACAGCCCCTAGGCAGAGAACCCACGGTGCCAGGGAGAATGCCACCCACACTGCCTATTCCTTCATCCCTTGAGTATTTTTTTTAAACTTTTTTTCTTTATTGATTTTAGAGACAGAAGAAGGGAGAGGAGAGGGAGATAGAAACATCAATGAGAACATTGATTGGCCTCCTCCTGCATGCCCAGGGGTTTGGCCCACAACCTGGGCATGTGCCCTAACTTGGAATCAAACCGGCAACCTCTTGGTGCATAGGTCAATGCTCAACCACTGAGCCACACCAGCCGGGCATCCCTTGAGTATTTATTGAAAGAATCCTCTAAGCCAGGAAAGAACAGGAGTCTGCACTGGAACAGTGGAGGCCATGAGGAGGCTGAAGCCAGAAGTAGCTGCTGGCTTTGCTCAAGCCCAGCTTCTCCATGTGGCTCACCTTGATTCTGCTGGAAAGGAAAATTGGGGCAGGCTTCATGGAGGAATTAGACTTGAACAAAGTCTTAAAACAGAGACAAAGAGGAAAGGCCTTCCAAATTCATGGTCTCTCCAATATTTTGAGATTACCAGGCATGATATAAAAAAAGCCAGGAGAGGGAGAAGTGCAAACCACAGATGAGACTGGGAATGGCTGAGAGATGGTTCCATTGCTCAGAGTCGAGAACACCGGGACATGAGGAAGGGCGGCCTCCTCTGCAGGGGCACAGGGGAGCTGGTGAGGGCATGGGGCAGCCACCAGTGAGTTTGTGGCTGGAAAGGAAGGGCGGAAAGAAGTATTGCCTGCTAGCTTGGATTTCTGGTGGGACAGAAGGCAAGTTGATCTGCTGGAAGAAAGCCAGAGAGAGTGGGGTACTTGAAGACAGTGGGGACATTTAGAGTAGGCCTTAGAAGAATGGGGAGAGAGCCATGAGGGATGGTGTAAGGATTGCTGAATAGAGCTGCGACCCCTAGAGGCCAGAGAGATGGCCTTGTCATGGCGGAGGTCTGCATGGCTGGGCGAGTGTCTCCAGCAGGCTCAGCAGTGCAGACGGTAGGCAGGGGGGTATGAGAATGAGAATGGAGAGATGGGGATAGAGAGAAAAGGAAGCTAGGACAGTGGGGCACTAAGGTGAGTTGCCAGGGCATCTGGCTGGAGAAGGTAGGGTGAAGTCAGGTTGGCTGGGAGACCAGGAGGGGGTTAAGGGAGGGATTTACTGTGACTGAGATGAGGGAGGGAGGGTGGACAGAGCCTGTGATCAGAGCTGGGATGTTTCACTGGAGACTTCAGCGGGCTCAGCCCAGGTAAGAGTGGGTATAAGACCAAAGGAATGGCCAGCTGAACAGAAGCATATGTGAAAGTCACCTGCCTCCAGGTCAAGAAATCAGTGAAGCAGGGGCCTGCCCACTCCTCCTGCTTTATCCCTCTCAAGTAGCCAATAAAAGCACAGACTTAGCTAAAAAGAAGAAAAAAAAACTTTTATTCACTCATTCGTTCAACAATTATTTATTGAGCACCTACTATGACCAATCCCTGTGCAAAACACTACATGTAGGAATGAGCAAAACTTGGCTCTTGCCCCCTCAGGGGCTCCCTGTCTCCCTGGGAGACACGTTATCACCATGGCAACACCTTGTGACAACTAGTACACAGAAATGCCCTGGTGTGGTGGGAGCACACATAGGGGCCTCGCCCAGGAAAGGAGGAGGTGACATCAAAGCTGAGCCTTAGGGTTGGGTTAGGGTTACCCAAGCGAAGGAAGCTGGAAGGGCTCTCCGAGAAGAGAGAGCATCCTCCAAGGAGAGACCAGCTTGGAGTGCCCCAGAACTACTAGCCATTTGGTGAAGCCAGAAGGTAAAGAGCGAGGCACGGAGTGGGGAGAGGTGAGCAGGACCCCAGAGGGCCTCACAGAGGGGACAGGGGCTTTAACAGAGGAACAGCAGGATCAGATTTGCATTTTAGACAGATCACTTGGCAGCAGGGTGGATAATTGGTTGGAGCAGAGAAGGAGCAGACAGAAAGAATGTTAAAGGCTGCGGGGCAACAGGGGTGGCACGAAGAGAGAACATTCAAGAAACTTTCAGGACTCAAAAATCAGCAGGACTAGATGCCTCTAGTGGATGAGGCAGGAGGGAAGAAGGGTCAAGGATGCTTCCCAGGTGCCTCCAACCAGCTGGAGAAAACAGGAGGAGTGCATTTGGAGGAACAGGAGAGGATCTCATTTTGAGACAGGTTCTGTTTGATGGGCCTGAGGACAACCAGGGGACATCCACTGGGCAGGTAGCTATGCCCAGAGGCGAGGTCCTGGCACCCAGATGTGGTTAAGAGGTGAAGACTGTGTTATTGTAACAGCTCAGCAGATTCTTCTTAGGGAGGGAATACCTTTGTTTGAGTAAGTGCCTTGATACACTGCTAAGAATAAAAGGGCAGAGCCTAGGGCATGAGTGACCTTAAGGCCAGAATAGCCGCAAAAATGACTCAGCTGCTCTGAGTGAGATGTTAAGAAGTATTGTTTTGGCCCCTGAGAAAGGGAGCAGAGAATGTAGGGGTGGGGCTGAGGAGGGAGAGGGAGTGAGGGAAACAGGGACAGAGAAGGGGTGCGTGACCAGTGGAAATTTCCCAGGCGTGCAGCAGAGGCACCCACTGCCCTGTGTGTCTCTGATTAGCTGTGGAACAAACCTGTCTTCCGTCTGTCCCTCTGTCCCCACAGGCCCACGTCCATTCACATCTGCTTTCTGAGAGTGGGGTTTAGGTGGGACCGGAGGAGAGAACTTCATTTTACATCTGGATTTGTGGGTTACAGATAGTGTGAGCCCATCTGGAGGCAGAGCCTACAGGCAGAGGGACCAGGAGAACAGGAACCCCCCCCTTCCCCCACCCCCGGATGCACAGGACCCTCTGAAGCAGGCCTTGGGGTCGGGAACCAGTGGTCTTGCTCTGTCTAAGCTGACACCAGGGATGTGAGCACCCTGGAATCCCGGGCACCTACTGCCCTCAGGCTGGGCCTCTGCCCGCAGCAGAGTTGGGCCTGTCCAGCTTGGAAACCTCCCTGGAGGTTCCAGGTCAGCACCCTGGGACCATGCCCCCCGCCCCCCCCCCCCCCCCGGCTGTCAGGTGAGCTGAGTGGAACAGGCATGTGAGCACCACCCCCACGCCTCCCACCCCCCGACACACATAACCCCGCCAGCACAGCCTTGCCAGCCTGACAGCACAGTCCTGGGCAGCAGTGCCAAGGCGGAGCTGCAGGTGGCGGCCAGTGAAGCCTCCACACAGGGAGACGCCAGAGACAAGAGACCAGAGGAGACGAGGAGACAGAGGCAAGGGAAACCGACAGAGGCCCTGGGAGCAGGAGGTGGCAGCCAGCACTCCAGGACCTACACGCAGTGGAGCCAGGAGGGTACAGCGCGCAGGATGCTGGGGTGCCGGCTCTGGATGTCCATCAGCAAGGCGCTGTTCGCCGAGTTCCTGGCCACAGGGCTGTACGTGTTCTTCGGTGTGGGTTCGGCTATGCGCTGGCCCGCAGCGCTTCCCTCTGTGCTGCAGGTCGCCATCACCTTCAACCTGGTCACCGCCATGGTTGTGCAGGTCACCTGGAAGGCCAGTGGGGCCCACGTCAACCCCGCGGTGACGCTGGCCTTCCTCTTGGGCTCCAAGATCTCCCTGCCCTGCGCTGTGGCCTATGTGGCTGCCCAACTGGTGGGAGCCATTGTGGGGGCTGCTCTGCTTTACAGGGTCACACCAGGGGACATCCGAGAGACCCTCGGGGTCAATGTGGTAAGTGCAGGGAGGGGCACCTGGTGGGGTCAGGAGGGAGGTGACTAAACAGGTGGTAAGGGTGAAGGGTCAGCGAAGAAAGGGGTCGTGAGGTAACCACTCGGGCACCTGCTTCACACCTGCTCTGTGCAGGGTGTGACCCAGGGGTCAGACTGTGGCTTCAGTGACGGCAGAGCGGGAATGGCATTGAGTGTGAGGGACAGGTGGGAGAGACCACACTAAGGGGCAGGAGTCTGAGGACCAGGCATTTAAGGGCTGGGGGAGCCAGGGAGGGCTGGGGCTGGGGGTGGCAGGGACCCTGCATACACCTCATCTCCCCGCCACAGCCCCCATGTTCCCCGCTCCTCTGCTTTCCCAGTTCCCTCCCTCCCCAGCACCCTAAGGCCTGTTTCACTGCCCCCCCTCCAGATTCCCCTCATCATCTCTGTTCCACCTACTTTCCCAAATCTCCTCCTTCCATTCCCACCCAAGTGTCCTCCCAATCAGCTTGCAAACATGCACCCCAGCTTGTCTGTGCCTCCCCTTTCCCACCGGCCCTGAGCCCCTGCCACCCCCTACATCACTGGCCCCAGCCAGCCTTTGGGGTGGGAGGGGCGACCCCGCTGCAGGGAGTGGGTGGCCACTGCGCAGTTCTCCCTAAGTCCTGGAACTGGCCGTGGTGAGATGTCACCCCTTACAGAGAGGAAATGAGGTGGGGGGTCACCAGCGCCTGGCAGAGCCCCTGTGGATCCAGGGTAACCCTCTCACCCAGGTGCAAAGCAGTGTCTCAACTGGCCAGGCAGTGACGGTGGAGCTGGTTCTGACCCTGCAGCTGGTGCTCTGTGTCTTTGCTTCCACTGACCACCGGCAGGCCTCGGCTTCCCCGGCCACCATGATTGGGATCTCTGTGGCACTGGGCCACCTCATTGGGGTAAGGGGCAAACGGGACACCATGCATGTGCACACATTGCTCCCTCCTGGGGGGCGGCTGCAGGGGCCCTGAAGGCCATAAATGTCCCTCCCTTAGCCCCTCATGCCTCGGGGCCAAGGCTGTGCCCCACTCTCCAGACCCAGGGTATGATGCTGGAGAGGCCAAGGCAGGAGCTGGGTCTGAACCAAGGCAGAGAGGACTGTCCCCTCCCAGGCCTGCCTTAAGCCTCTTCACACCCCAAACCCACACTCACTCCCCAGATCTACTTCACTGGCTGTTCCATGAACCCAGCCCGCTCCTTTGGTCCTGCTGTCATCGTTGGGAAGTTCGAAGTCCACTGGGTAAGACCCTCTGCTGGCAGCCATGGCGGGGTGAGGGGCAGGTAGGGGCAATAGGGACTGTGGCTTCACCAGCAGCAGGCAGGCAAGTCTCCCTGCCACAGACCAACTTGACCCCCCGAGAGAGGTTTCCCTGGGCTCAGAAGACCAGGGCGAGCATCCTGGCTTGTACTTCCTTCCCTTCTAGCTTCAGTAGCCCAGGGTACCCAGTGGCTGGCAAGAAATTGGCCAGGGCAGGAACCACAGCCCTGGGCCTCAAGTCCTGGCTGTTTCCTTATTCACTTTCTCCAGCTGGACCAATTTCCAAACTTGGATAAAGAAAAAGACAAACAGAAATAGACACTCACATCAGCAAAGATAGGAACACTGGCCAGCGCTCCTGGCTGGTACAGGGAGGTGAGAGGAGGGAGAAAGGAGTGGTGAGGAGACTGGCCCCGTGGGCGAAAAGATCCCCTCTCCTGCAGGGACTTGTTTGGGGTGGGGGCGGGATTCGTGCTTCTCAAATTTGCCACAAATTTTAGACAGCTCAGGGGTTCCTGGGAGACCAGTCAACACTGGGGAAGCAGGCATGGGTCTCAAAGCCACCCTATGATCCCGAGAGCTCCTAACAGGTGCCCACTTCTCTGCTTCCTCAGATCTTCTGGTTAGGACCCCTGACCGGGGCTATCCTGGCTTCACTGATCTACAACTTTATCCTGTTTCCTGACACCAAGACCCTGGCCCAGCGGCTGGCCATCTTCATAGGCACTGTGAAGATAGAGAAGGTGGAAGAGGTGGAGCCCCAGTCCAGTCCAGGGGACACCCAAATGGAGAATGTGTGTCAAATAGCATAGAACTTGGCCCCTGCCCTCAGGCTTCTGAGAGGAGCCCCATACGTTGGCATCATGCCCTGTACAACCAGATTTCAGGTTTTCTGAGGGAACAGGCGTTTTAAGGGTATGTAGGGAGGCTTGGCCTCTTGCCCTAACAGGTTGGGCAGGGGATGCCAATCCCTCTCCTAGGCATTACATTCCTACATAGAATGTGGGGAGCAAATCTGTTCAGTCTCCTCCTTGTCCATCCCCTAATGGGACAGAGCAGAGTGAGGCAGGGAAACTGACGATTGCCCTCCCCTTCTCTCCATCTGGACTCCAGATCCCCATGTCTTGGAAAGGAGTTAGAGCCCAGCTAGCCAGTATGCTTAGAGACTGAGGGCTAAAGGACTCTCAGGGACCCGCAACTCTTCACCCCACCCTTGGGGAGGAAGGGGCCAGAAGACTTGGGGCTCCCCACAGGGATGTCTCTGCTCTTGGGTACAGTTTGAAGGGCTATGGCTCCCCCCCTCAGACTGGGGGCTTCCAGAGGAGAAAGATTGCCCTCCCGATAGATCTTCATTCCTCACTACCCAAAGGCTCAGGAGAGGACCCCACCCTCGGGAAGAGCTGACAGAGAGGAGGTTTTTCTGGGGCTAGCAGAGGAACAGGCTATGTGCAGGGAGGTTTGAGCCAGACTGCCAATTCCGTGCCCGTGCACTGGGTGCCCTCAGCCAGGTTTGGTTTTTCCAGGGCAAGCTCTTTAGGATGTTTGCCCATCTTCCACCCACAGTCCTGTTCACAAGAACAATTCTGAGAGGGGAGGGCCCCAGCCCCCAGCCCAGCCCTCGGTCCACATCCTGGGCCACAGAAGCTGTCTCCAGCCTCATCCTCAGGTCTGCCGGGACACCCCAAAAACTGTTGAATAAGCCGCAAGGATGGTAGGAGTGACCCAGAAAACAGTTTCAGTTCAGGCCTCTGAAGGACCACGGCAGTCTCAACTGGTTTGTTAGTATTTACAAGCTGCTGCAAGTCGACTATGTCCATGACTTGGGACTCTATCTTGATCTCAGCTTCCTCAGATATTAAATGGGCACAAGCCTCCCCCAGAGACTGCTGTGAAAATGAACAAGAAATTGGAAAATGTTTTTGGAAGTTAAAATGTTAGAAAAACAAAGCCAATAAATGATGATTATTGCTGCTATTACTGTAATTATTGGGTTTGAATACAATTGCTGTTGATAATGAGAGGGAAATAGATGATTGAGAAGAGAATAAGTTTCTCATTTTATCTGCTTCAATTGTGGGGGCCCTGCCTCCTCCTCTCTGCTGGGTCTACTGACCTGGGACTTTGTGAGTATGTGTGGGGTGAGTGTGTGTGGAGCTTTGTGAGGGGGTGGGGTGTTGGGGGAGGGACCCTGGAATGAAGAGACAAACCAATAAAAGTCAGTTCTCATCTCTATGGTGCCCATCACCATGGTATTCTGAGATGCAGCAATCAAATCCATAAAATAGATAGGTCCTTTTCCATGATGTCTCCAAAGGGGCTGGGGTGGGGAGGGGCTGCCACAGTCTTCCAAGGGCTGGGTGACAGGCCCAGGCTGTGACCAGTGCAGGTAACTGAGTCCTGGCACTGGTGGCCAGCAGCCATGCTGTGTTCCGTAATACTGTCAGTGTGGAGTACTGTTCACATCTTTCCAAGCTGGGCCATTCTCATCCATCTCACAATCTGTCAGAGCCCAGGGCTTCTTGTGCCCTTTTATGAACAGGGACAGCTGGGCTCGTGTGTGTGCGCACGTGCGCGCGCACTCGTAGGATGTGACTGAGTTGCTAAAGGTCACCCAGCTCAGTACCACAGTCCCCGAAGTTCTCCCCAGCTCCCAGCTTAGAATTTTCCGAAATAGCGCTCCAGGGGGGCTATACACGCTGCAGCCAGAGGATGGAAGCAGGAACTGCAAGTGGAGGGCAGGCGTGGAGCTCCTGCAGCAGACCCTTAGGCTCCGAGACAAATTACCTCCACATCCCTGGAGCCCAGCACACACTGGGTGCTCAATAAGTCTAATGAATGACGAGGCTGGGCGACTGGGGGGGAGGGGAGGTAGTAATCGATCAAGAGGAGAATTTAGGAGTCACAGCTCCAAAGGAGCCAGATGACTGCAGCTTCAGAGCCTGTGCTTGAGGTAGGGGGAGCTGGGGAGAGGGTACAGTCACTGAGTCCCCACCCTCACTCAGCCAACTGTGTGACCTCTGTCCCAGGAACTTCAGGCTAAAGGGTAAGGGTGATTGCCTGTGGGGAAAGCTGGGGGCTACTTTCACAAATAGTTCTTTGAAGCGGTGCTGTCGGAATAGACTAGAGCAAAGAGACAAGGAGAGTGAGGAATTAGGTTATAATCTGAGGAGCATCCAAAGTTAGAAGGGAGTGAGTAACCAGAGGTGAGCCTCTCCTTCTCGGCAGCCCTTTAGTAGGACACCAGCCATCTGTTCGAATGAGGAAGGGCTGGCCTTCAGGAGCCAAATCTCAGCAGTGCCAGCCGGGGGCAGCGGGCTTCCTAGTCACAGCCCCTGGCTTTGGGTGGGAGGTGGGAAGCACAGGGAGGGCAGAGACCCAACCAGGCAGACCCTCAGTGTGCACTCTCTTTCTCCTGTTTGTCAGGGGAAGTTTTTAATTAATGGTGTGTAATCTGATCTGGCCCTTCTCCCTGCTGAGCCCTGCTTTCAATCAGCAGAGCCATCTGCAATTGCAATTCATAATTCTCCCCAAAGGGAGGGGACTCCGGACGGGCGCCTTGGTGATTAATACAATTAGCCTTTTATGTTGATGATTGTCTTAGCAGGAGCAGATGAGGCACACAGAGCCTGGGCTATCGCTTCCCCATTGGTTAGCAGGAAGCCCCTCTCCACTTCCCACCCCCACTGCTACCATGGGTGTGAAGAGGACAGGTCTAAGCTGGGACCACGCTGTGAAGGGGGAAAGCCCATGAAGGGGCCAGGTTCTGGGACACATTTGGGCTCCTTGGACTGAGAGGAGAGGAGGAGAAAGATGATCCAGACTTTCCAAAGAAAATCCTTTGACCTCAAGGGTCCTGTAAACCAAGGTTAAAAGAAAAATACTATATAAAGGTAGGCTAGGAGTTGAAAGAGTTTAAATACAAACTCAGGCACTTATAGCTGGGTGCACTTGAGCAAGTTATTTAAGGATCCTGAGCCTCATGTTCCTCATCTGGAAAATGAAATCTATTCCTAAGGGGGCTGGAAGAACCGCGTGGGCTCCCGCACCGCACCTGGCACAGGGTCAGATCGCAGTCAGAGGTAACGGGTTTTACCCATAGCAGTGGACTGCCATTCCTTCTGCCAATGGTCTGGCTATTTCTTCTGTGGTTTCTAATGCAGCCCAGCTATTAGTAAAGAAAGGATCGCTTCCTCCCCATAACCCAGGCTGAGCAAAGGCGAGAGTATGTGAGTAAGAGTGTGTTGGGGAAATAGGACCCAGAGGAAAGAGCAGTCGAGAATCAAACCTGAGGAGGAGAAGTAAGGACCTCCTCAGAACAGAGAAGTGGAGCGGTACAGTGAGGCCGCTAGGAGCTGGTTTGGGGGATTCAGGGAATAGGGGTAAGGAGGCTAGGGGTATAAAGGGGTAAAAAGAAGCAGAGCTTGGAGCATCTGGAATTTCATGTGGCAACTAAGTAAACAAAAAGGAGCAGTCATCAGAGCTGAGGGTTTAAGAAGCAACACAGATCAAAATCTGTGATCTCTGATCTGTAATGAGGTCAAGTGATCTGGAACAAACTGGTGTTGTGTGTGTGTGTGTGATTTAGAGAATAGTTTATTAATTTTTAGAGAGAGAGGAAGGGAGAGGGAGAGAGCAATATCAATGTGAGAACATAACATCAATCGGCTGTCTCCTGCACGCCCCCTACCAGGGATCCAGCCTGCAACCCATGCATGTGCCCCGACAGACCAGGAATCGAACCAGCAACCTTTCAGTGCATGGGACATCGACACCCAACCTACTTAGCCACACTGGCCAGGGCCTGACTGGAATTTTGATGGGAGACTCCACTGGGTCAGGAGAGGGGACCACCTCAGGTCCCTGGGCCCCAGTGCTGTTCTCCACGATCTGCGGCAGCGTGAGAAGAGTGCTCCTCACCACAGGAGATGTTAACCTGCAGCCCGTGCCAGGCCTGGCAATGTCAGGGGAAGATGGAGAGGGAAGACGGGAGGAAGGTGTGAAGGGCTAATCAAGATGAAGCATCAGCCAAGCTGTGGCCACTCGGGCAGCTGGGGCAGGGGGTCCACACAGCCACAATCTGTAATCACCTCTCAGGAAGGGGTAGCTACCCTGAGGAGCAGTCACATATTTAGCAAAAGCTGCAGAAGGGAAGCATAGTTCGTAAGAGGAATTGAGGGTGGGGAGCCCAACGGCATAAATTAATAGGCAGCAGTTAATGGGTAGAAAAGGGGGAAATGAAGAACTGTTTCAGAGCTCTGATTAAGTCAGATAAAGGGACAGTTGTTGCCAGAGCTGATGGTAGAGGAGGCCAGAGACAGGCAGAGACCAACAACTCTACCCCTCACCCCCACCGTAGACAGATAAAACAAGGCCCAGCCAAGCCAGGGCCAGCCCGCAGTCAGAGAAGCCAGAGGAGGGGCCAGGACAGAGTCAGGGTGTCCAGTTATGGAACGGCAGGCTGGAGGTCCTTCCTTAGCCTGGAATATGCTCCTGGGCTCTGGCTTTCTCACTCTGCCCGTTCATCCTGAGATCCAGCTTCAAAGCCATCACCTTCCAGGCTCTCTTAACCTCTAGCTTCCTCCCTCCTCTGAGCTCCCACAGCACTCAGCACCCACCTCCATCCTGGCACTGAACACTGTGCTTCAGGTATTTGAAGCCCTCTCTACTGAACAGGAAGACCTTCTTAATCAAAATTACATTTTTAGTCTATTTCGCATCTCGGGGCAACAGTTTCCTTAACTTCCATCCTTGTCTTGGCCCCAAAACCATGGCCTTCCAGTTTCAAGGGAGGAAAAGTCCTCCTCTGGTATGGATCTGGTGAGCAAATT